TTAATGTAACCACGTTAACGGTTCTGTCACCTGCATTTGTATCCTGTCAGACAACCCCTGTACTGTTGTTGAGCACACTCCTGACTTGTCGTACAAAAAGAAACCCTTAAAATATTTGTGAGACAAAAGAAGTCCCAGCAGTTTTTTACTAAAAAAAAAAAAAAAAAGGAATATTTGATAGACAACCCATTCAGTAATTCAAGTTTAAAATGCACAATATGACTAAAGAAATCCCCTTGCCAGCTGAGTGCATTCCCCCAACCCCTCCACAAATGGGAGGGAAGGAAGATCTTTTTCAGAAACAGAAAACCTGCAATTACTTTCAACTTCATCTCTGCCATTCCTCTGATCTTTGCAGTTTGAAAGGAGACCTTCCACATGCAGCGGCACATGAACCAATGTGAAGCATGAGCACTGGAGAATTGCATCAGAAATCAGCAACAGAGAACGTGGCAGCTGCAAAAACAGCCTGCAAAGAGGTTTCAGGTCTGACCACTCAGTGCACTTCTCTCAAGTGAGAAAAACGACCTGCGATTCTACAACCAAAGGACGTGGTGCTTCCAGACAGGAACAAAGAATTCAGAGGAGAGGCCTCACAAGTGTGGATGTGACTGCTGAACCGAGAGCAGCTGGGGGCAAAGATGGTGTTTGAGTTAAACAAGACAGTACCAAAAAACAGGGAAAAGGAAGGAGAAGAGATCAGAAAAAGGTAACGTTTAGCAGAAGGAAAAAGACAATCTATTTCATCAGATGGTGGCCCCAGATCTAAAGCAGGGAAACAGAATTATGTCCAAAGCTTTCTCCAACCCAATTTAGACCATGAAATGAGCCTCTGCCAGATGCAAGCTGAACTCAGAGTCTGAAAAGTGCTATGTTTTACAGGTTTACAAACCAGAAGTGCCATGCAAGTCAAAGCCACAAAGGTATCCGAAGAGTCGCTGGCAACTGTTCTAAAATACTATTTAATCTATGTTTCAAAGGCAGCAGGAGGCAGAAAAAAAAACCTAAGAGCTACAGAACCATACTCAGCTTCACTTTCTTGCTCACATGGGAAAACCCCATCAGCAAGTTAAAAATACCAATCTCGTTTTGTAATTGCTTGCATACTGAGGCAGCCTTATCAGCAAAGACATCATTGAAAAAAAAAGAAAAAAAAAAAAAACTGAAGGAGGGAAGGAGAGAGAGGGAAGCTGTACACAGAAATGGCAAGGAAACAGAGAAGATGTTTGATGAATTTGGCTCGGGCCCTGCAGTAAGCCTGGAACAAAACAAAACACAAAAACAAGCCGCCCTAGGCTGATGAAGTGGGGAGTGGCTCATCTGAGCTTTGCACTGCTAACAAAACTATTTCAACTATGAACTGCTCGAGCAGGCTATCAGTTAAATAACTAACTGAACTGGTAGAGTCATAAACTGGTAAGGCAGACATTTCCATCAGATTCACACCATGTTTTTAAAACAAAACTAGTTACATAACTTTTAATTCCACTACCCAAAATAGACTTGTCAAGTAAAATTTAAGCTTATTTTAAACAGACTCGATCCCTCATTTGCAGGATAAGTTACACAGGTGGCAAAGTGCTCTTCCCAGTTCTCTGCATGCCAGACTATTACCCCGAGACTCACTCTGCTCCATTCACCTCCTCCAGCCACAGGCTGGCAGGCCTGGCTATGACTCTGCAAGTTCAAGGTCCTTCCAGTGAAGGAAAAGATCAGAAAAATCATAGAGTGAACATTTGTTCAAGGAAGGAGATACGAAAACACCTCTCAAAGTCATCACCATCTGTGCCGTAACCAAGCTCAACACCTTGGGCACCTCACAGCCAGGCTCTGCAGCCTCTGCAGCCTCAGAACCGCACTGCAGGCCAAGGACATCAGCTCTCATATTCAGCTCTTCTAGAGATAGTAGGTGCAAAAAAAGATGGTAGGTGCAAACTCCTCACCATTTCCTCCTCTGTGTCAATACACCATGCCATAAGCACTACAGTTAGGAGAATGCTATGGGTACCACTCCATTTGCAAGCCCTGTGATGACCATTTTCCAAATCCAGCCCTCATGTTCCTTCACTCCCCATCACTGTGCACCATGATGCCTCCTGTTGCCCCACAGTCCCAGCAGCCTCGTGGCACACATCTGGCCATTCCTCCCCCTAACTTCACTCCTCATTTTCCCTGCTCTAAGCTCACGCAGGCCCTTCCTCCTTTACCAGCTTTTTCTCCCAGCTCAGTAACTGCTCCACACAGAAGGGTACGCACACAGCTCAACACAGATCAGAAGCCCAACTCCCAGCAGCCTCCTCAGCACCAAGCTCACTGCACCTCTTGTACCGACATGCAATTCACATGCACTTCAGTTGCAAAGGAGACAGTGGAGTTTTTGCACCTTCAGAACCTCGTAACAACCATGGAAGTCTCACCTGTCCCACCTGCTTATTTTTCAATCACTGTCATTTCTTTTAGATCACAGCCTCCTAAGCTGCACCATTTTCCTTCTGGCAGGCAAGAAACTGACATATCTATCAGTTGTGAATGCTAAGAACAGTACTGCCAATCCCATGTTGCTGCTCATTTTCCACAGCACTGCAAGCAAAGAAGGCTGCCTAACCACAGACTGCAGAAAAAAGCAGACTGCATTTGCCTGCGTTAGGCTGATTGTCAGAAAGTATTACCAGCTGTACATATGACAGCTTTTACAAACTCATTCATTTAGGAGGGACACATTTAATCCCTACCTTCTCCCTATATAATTTGTGCAAGCCTGCCTCTGAGATTTTTTGGTTTTGTGGGTGTTTTGTTTTTTAATTATATGAAATCCTTTAAGCTGACCATCATCACACCCGCAGGCTGCCTACACTTCTCTCTCCCATCTTCCTCTTCCTCTATCTTTCCTTGCTTTCCCACAGCATCTAACTATGAGCTTTTCACCCCATACCAAGATCACCTCCCTCTTGAACAACTTTTGAATGCTAATTCCTCCCTCCTTCATGGAAGGATCTTAAATTCACTCACTCCAAAATACCCTGCACCCTGAAATCCTCTGGTATCCTCTTCTAGAACACACCACCCTCCCCCTGCCTTACCATACCACTCTTCATCTTCCTCTGCAGTGAGCATTCTGAATGCCCTCCCTCATTCCCCTGGGTCATTCTTTAATCCCTGCATCATAATTGCCTTCCTCCTTCCAAGTAAATTATTCACACTATCAACAGCACAAACCTGATCTTTAATCTACAGTCCAATATGGAGCCACTTCTAAAAGGCAGGATGCTCACGGCAGAGAATGCAGTGCACCCCACAATTCTGAAAAAAAAAAAAATACACAGTTCAGTGAACACAAAGTTTTCCAACCCTGCACAAAACTGTAACCAAGTTATAGTTACAGAAACTGCTTCCTCTAAACAAATCTTGAGACCCTGATACCATAAAGGGATCATTTGCCTTGGAAAATGTTGTTTGTTGCCTGTATTCAAGCTTTCAAAAACAAATTAAAGCTAAAAACACCTGTTCTGAGCAAACAGCAGTTAAAACTTTGTGCTCGTCACAAAAAGCATCCTTCCCTGCTACAGGATGTTCTCAATCAGGGTAAATAATGACTCCATTGACACCATCACTGTCATCATTTCTCTCACCAACTTGCAAGAATATTTCATCCCATCACTGTAATACTGTTCTCACAGATTTATTAGCACAGTAGCATAGGATATCATGGCAATCCAAGTGAATATGGTTATTACTTCCACATTTTGGCAAGGAAGATACAGTGGGAGTTTCTCAGCAGCTACTGAGCACAACAAAAAAGTTTCACCAAAACTAAGTTTGTAATGAAAATCATTTCTAAAGATTTTTCACAATTCATCTTTCAAACAAGAATGAAGAAAAGGAAGCTCATCAGAACTGAAATAATTGAAAGCATTACAGCGATGCACTTTGAGCCTGCTTGCACAGCAGTGATCAAGACCCCAATAGGAAGAAGCATACAATGTGCTGAACCAAAGGAACACACACAATTCAAAAAAAGAAAAAAACCCAAATCTCAAATGTAACCTGAATATCTAAAACTGAACCAGAGACTCAGATACTAGTGGGAACTAGCAGAAAATGCAGCTGGACAAAAAGTGGCACACTGAGAATTCATCTTCATCTTGGAAGCACAACGTAGAAGCCAAAACTAAAGCAAGCTCGGCCTACGTAAATGCTAGAATTTATCTTTCCTTTGAAAGAAACTTCATCAGAGCAAACGTTTCAAGCTCTTTCTTTTTTAACATAAATGCAATCGCACCAACATCTGCTTTAAGGTCACCGAAGACCAGGACAGGATATATTGGAAATAAAAAACAGATTCGTGCACCGCCTCGCACTTTTTAAGCGCCCACCGTCGGTCTCTGCCAGCACCAAGTTCGGCCTAACGCCTTATCCAGCGGCAACGGCAATTTTAGTCCTTCCCAGGAAGGAGCCAAGGCAGCGCTCCGCAGCATCGCTCAGCAGCTTCCAGCCAGGAGCCCCGGGAGCAGCTGCAGGAGCCGCGCAGGTCAGCACGCCTCAACGCAAAGGGCACGACTTCGCCCGTCAAATTAACGGCCCAATCAATGAGATGGCTTTTAATTCTTCACAAATATGTGTTGCGTAAACATACGGTCTTCTCCGTAGCAACGGCAGAAACTCAGTTCTGCTCGCAGATCTCCAGGCAATCACCAGACACCCTGACTTCCCTAATAGGTAAGAAAACCTCAGGCCTCTGGCAGCTTCTGCCTGACGCCATAGCTAATTCCACACCCCCTTTTTTGACAGCGTTGAAGGCGGTCGGGCCGCCGCCGCCTTCCCGCTCGTTACGTTACGTTACCGCGCTCCCGCGGAGCCGACACGCGCCTCCCCTCCCCTGCTCGGCACGGCCGTCCCGCTGTGCCCCGCACCACACGGCTTCCCGCACCACACGGCTTCCCGCCCCGCACGGCGCTGCCCCCGGCGCCCCGCCCCGCCACCGCTCCCGACGCGGCGCCCACCTTTCTGCAGCAGCAGCTTCACCTCGCCGTTCTCTTCCCGGCCCGCCGCGCTCAGGGCCCCGCCGCCATCTCCGAGCGCGGGCAGCGCTCCGTGCTTCCTCCTCTCCTTGTCTCGCTTCTCCTTCGGCCTCTTGGGCTTGGCGGCCTCTCCGGCCGGAGCCGGGCGGTGCCGATGGTGGCGGTGCTGCGGGCAGGACGGGGAGGGAGAGGCGGCGGACGGCAGCAGCAGGGCGGGCGGCAGCAGCTTCCGGGGCAGCGGCGAGGGGAAAGCGAAGCCGGCCGCGCTGACAGAGGGCCCTGGCGGCAGCGCGGCGAAGCCCCACGCCGCGGGGTTGCTGTAGGTCGGCACCGCCGCGGGCAGCGGCTGCTGCTGCTGCTGCTGCTGCTTGCCGCTCCCGCCGCCGCCCCCTTCGCCGTTGACGCGCTTGGTGCCCTTTGGGCCCCTCTCGTCGGCTCCCTTCAGCTTCTTGGAGGCTGGCTGCGACCCGCGGGAGGCTTTCGCGTCCGGGCCCGGCCTGACGCAGAACGACTCTCGCTCCGGCGACGCCGCGCCACGACCGGAGCTCGGCGGCTCCGCCATTTTGCGCTCCTGCTTCTATTTACTCTCGGCTCGCCTCAACCGACAGAACCGGGAGGGACGAGGGGGCGCCCTCTCCTCGCCCAATCGGCGGAGGCGGCGCCGGAGAGACGGCGCGATCGGCCAATGGCGTGGCGGGGAAGGGGCGAGCTCTGAGGGGATTGGGGGCGGCGAGCTCGGCCGAGTGCGTAGTTGGAGAGCGGGGGCTGCGGGCGCTGCAGCTCGGGGGTGGGCGGCGCTCGGTGGGGCGGGGCCCGGCTCCAGCCATAACCCCAACCCGAAGCCCAGGCCGGCGGCTGTGGTGCGGGGCGGTGAGGTGGTGGCCGGCGCGTGGGGCTGCGTCACGGGGAGGCGCTCCTCGGAGCCGCTCCTCGGAGCCGGCGCGGTCGGGCGAAGGAGTGCTACGCGTGAACTGACCGCGCGTGGCGGCGAGTTTCCTTGGGAACGTTCCTTCCCGGCGCAGTGGGAAGAGCGGGGCAGCTCCCGCTGCGGGCTTTGTCTGTCGGGCCGCTGCCGAGCGGAGCGCTTTGTTGAGTTTTGCGTTCGCTGCGTAAGAAGATGAATAAAGCCCGGAGTTGGGCTTTGGGATTGGTTGTGCTGTTCTTTCCTGCTTCGCGCCTTGTTTCCTTTTGAGCTGCTGCTGCCGGGCTGTACGATAACCTCACTGCTGACATCCAGACGTGGCCCTCGCAGGAATGTATCGCCTGCCCGAGGCAGGACGAACAGCCCCTGCCTTCTGGTACCTCTGCAGATGAGGAGTTAATGCGCCTCGTGGCAACTCTGCAGGCTGTAAAGCCCTGAGTCCCTGCTGCTATGAGCAGCACGTCAGCACTACGTCAAGCCCATTCTGTACGCTTGAGCTTTGGGTGAGATATTGCTGTACGCTCAAGCTCTCAGCTTTGGGAACGTTGAGAAACAAAAGAACAGCGCTTCCAAGGACTTCGATCTTCAGCAGGAGGATCCCTCGTGCTTTCGCCCAGAGGAAACTGGCACGGCCCCCGGAGCCTCCCTGCGAAGCCCGGCCCCACGCCCGCGGCCCAGAAGCAGCGCGGCCAGCAGCACGAGGATGTTCCTTTTGCTTTCCCGGGTAGCACGTTCTGCTTGTAAACACAACGCCAAGTTTTTATTGGTTCGTTCTTGTGAAATTTCCATGGCGGAGCGAGGTGACATAGTACCCAATTGTGTGTAATTGTTGCTTGTTGGAGTGCAGTGCGGCTAATGTTTGGAGGCTTTCTGCTGCTATCTCCTATCCGTTTGTCAGCAAGGAAAATTATACAATGCCTGAAATTCCAGTGCCAGCTCAGTGTTTAAGTTCTCCCGATCCTCCTGCAGTGTGGCACATGTGAAATAAGTGTTGTCCTCAGCCCTTCTTCAGCCCTTGCAGATTGACGGAATGCATTAAATTGCTGTGCCGCTCTCACGGTGAGCATCCATCCCAAAATATTGAAATCAAATATCCATGTGTCTTTCTTTGTAAATACAGGCCGTTTGGGAATAGGTTGTCTTCAGTGTTACAATAAAAAGGCAGGCCTACCTTCAGTACTGCATGCAATATTTTACTACACTTTGATAACAGTGGGAAGGCAAAATGTGTACAAAGCAATGAAAGAGTGCATCTTGCAGAAGTACCTGTTTAGAATCACAGATTCATTCCAATGTGAAGAAGAAACAGCAGAATAAATATGTTTATAGTAAAACATCAAGCACTGTCCGGTTCTGGGCTCCTCAGTTTAAGAAAGACAGGGAGCTGCTAGAGAGAGTCCAGCAGTCCAGGGGCTGCAAAGATGGCTGGGGGCCTGGAGCACCGCCTGTGTGAAGAAAGGCTGAGAGACCTGGGGCTGTTCAGCCCAGAGAAGAGAAGGCTGGTGATTTCATTGCTGCTTATAGATATCTAAAGGGTGGGAGCAAGTGGATGGGCCAGACTCTTTTTGGTGGACACAAACTGGAATGTAGGAAGTTCCATACAAACATGAGGAAGAACTTTACTGTGTGGAGGACAGGATGCTGGGAGCTGCCCGGAGAGGTTGAGGACGCTCCTCTTCTGGAGATGCTCAAAACCCGCCCAACTGCTTTTCTGCGTAACCTGCTGTAGGCAGCCTGCTGTAGCAGGAGCTGGACTAGAAGATCTGCAGAACTCCATCCCAACCCCTATGATTCTGTAAAAAAAGTTGCCCTAAAGCAGACCGTAACAGAGTGGTACAGCAGTGGCTGTGTGGCAGCCCTCACCCTGCAGTGGCTGCTCTGCGATTTATGAGCTCGAGAGCCTCTGTGGGAATCACTCATCTGCGTGGCTGCAGCAGGATACGGAACCCACAGTGCACAGACAATAGGAGCTGAGTTTTTCCAGAAGACTTTAAATGGATTGTGGAAACTAGATCGATGTGCTTCTCTCTATCATTCCGTGTGCACTTAGGGACATCTGTGATCATTTTCAAGACCATAAAAAACAAAAGAGGCAAAACCATAACAGTAAAAATGCCAGACGTGTATCAGTTCAGTGCCCAACACACATTAAGGATAAGCTTGGCAGAGTACTGCTTACTACAAACATATTGCCACTTTAATGAAAATAATTAAGAAGTATCAAAAGCAAATGCAATGGATTATTAATCAAAACATTTGTTTAAATACACTGTCTTGTTGCACCTAAGTGCTGCACGCAGACCGATCAAATGCCTTTGGCTTTATGCTCTTTGCCGCTGACCAGAGCAATGCAACAGAACCTTGCTGATGTCTCCAAATAAAAGTACGTCTTTCTGAAACGTTATTTCAATTCTTGACAGCTTGGTTTCCAGGCACCCATTCTCTTGGTTTGGCATCCATTCAGTTTCTAGCTCAAGTGTGCAAATAAGTGTGCCAAGAGTAAATTGAAAACATTTGATAACAATTAGGCATCTTCATACTGTTTTTTTGTCTACAAAATAAGCAAAATGCAATTATTGCTGCTATTACTTTTTTTCTTGCAGTTCATTAAAAGCCAATCTATTCACCTTGGAAAATCGAGGGGAAAATGAGCCTTCTTGTGTGTAGAGAACGTGCTTCCATCATGTCACGGTGTCATTAATTTTAGAAGACCAGAAAAGCATTGTTTTCTATAGCCACAGTTTTCAGAACAACCAGTGGCACATCCAAGCACTTTGCAATTAGCACCCAAACAATTGAACTCGGTGGGACAGCCGGGACTGGGGTGGCCCTGGAGTGGCAGCTGCTGACAGCGCGAGCCTCATGCAGCACTTGAAGAGTTCCCACCCCGTGCTGTGCTCTCACGTCCTTCACAACAGGCCTGGAGGGGAAGTTTCCCCATGGCCTTTCCTCTCAGAAACAGCTGAGGAACTTGTCCCTTTTCTGGCTGCTCAGTGTCAGACATTTGGAGCAGGGCAGACAGCCAGGGCCAGGAATGCCTTTTATTACAGCGTTCATCTGCCAACACTTCAGAATCCATCAAACCCACAGAAGGGAGGAGCTTACGTTGCAGAGAGGACCTGAAATAATCACATCATTTAATGTTTTTCCAAACACCATCTTACTGCCAGTCAGCTCTTAAAGCTGTGTGACGGCTTGCTCTTTCTCACTTAGCTCCTGTAGTTCTTTTCTGAAGCATGGAGCAATGGAGCAAACTTGGGAAGTAGTGACCTACACAGTTTCAAATAATACCTTCCTGCAATTGAAAAGACAATTTGCTTTGCTGGTGTCTTCAAAGGACACAAAATAATGAAGGCCATTTAAGGGGCCCCTAGGAATTTTCATTTTAAAAAAGTGTAATTAATGACAGAAACATCAATATGCAAAAGGATGCAAGTGAAGCAAAACTCTACTTCCCTTCATTTGGGAAGGGAAGGGAAGGGAAGGGAAGGGAAGGGAAGGGAAGGGAAGGGAAGGGAAGGGAAGGGGAGTCCTACTCTTTTTTTTTTCCCAGCAAATATTCAGTTAGAAATGAGTCTTCAGCAAACACAGCTGCCTGTCTGTGACTGGAGTTTCAGCTTTGAGTGTGACAGAGGGCTCTATCTGCTCTCTAGGACAGGGAGCTGCTGTAGCCACGTTTCCAGGAACAAATAAGCTGAACTCTAAGTGCCTGGACTTAAAATAGCCACATAGCTCATCGTTCCTTCAATACCAGCTTGTCTGTTCTACAGGAGCCTTGTGGCAGGAGAGCTGCAGGCTTCACAACACAACAGTGAGTAGTATTGTAAATCTCATTTTACTAATACCCTTATATCTGCATGTCCTTCAGTCGATTCATTGGTTGCTTTACTGAAGTGAAAATACCAAGACTTTTTCAAAGATGAGAAAAGTTGATCAATAAAGCTAGATTAGGGCTGTAACTGAAGGATGAAGCAATATCTTACGGGCTTTCAAAGGCTGTTGTAACTGCAATAAGGATATCAAAATGTAACAGCAGACACTTTTCTGTGTGTAAACAAAGTTCTTTGTTCAAGTATAATACAGACATCACAAAAAATACATATACCTATGTATATAGAAAGGCACATATACGAGGGTTGCTCTGAAAGTAATGCCTCCCCGTTTTATTATGTTGGCCCACAACATCAGAGGCAGATGTTGGTGGCATGGCAGTAGAGGTCGAACCTTCCTGCCAATATCCAGTCACATTTTGGTGCTGTGTGGCAAATGGCAGCAGAGGGGCAGAATGACAGAATGGCATCTGAGATAGAAGCGTGTATGAAACAAAGGTGAGGAGTTGAATTCCTCCGTGCGGAAAAAATTGCAGCCTGACATTCATCAACACTTGCTGAATGTTCGTGGAGACCAGCGTTCTCCAGGTGGAGAGTGGATGTGATCACAGTGAGGCAGTGCGTGGTGCTTTTCAGCAGTGGTGACAGTGACAGCAGGCGCCTCTACTGGTGCAGGCTGCTGCGAGCATAGCGTGCAGGCTGTTGCTCATCCTTGATGAAAGTGCATTGCTAATGGCGGTGACTGTTGAAAAAATAGTGTTCGTAGCTGAGAATTTGCTCTACTGAATAGTGTTATTGAGCTCTTTGTATCCAGTGTAGTTTCCATGGAAATA